GAGAGGTGGGCTGCTGACAGGCAGGGTTTCAACAGGGAGGTAGGAAAGTCCAGGCATATCTGGGAGCCGAGGCTGGTGGTGGATCCAGGGGCAGCCTCTGGGTGTGTTTTGAGGCCACGCCACCTGGCATCTTCTGCCGAGTCCCCCAGGTCTAGTCCCTGCGTCCCCAGGCCGTGTGACCAAGTGGTACCCCCATCCCCCAGTCACTCAGTCCCTGGGACACTGACAGGCAGGTCTCAAGAGCATTTATTCCTTCCCGGTGGGGAGGGGGCAGGGGTCCAGGTCCAAGGGGCACAGGCCCCTACGTGTACCATATGAAGCCATAGGTGGCATTGAGAATCTCCTCATTTGTGCGCAGTCCATAGAGCTCGCCCATCATGGGGGTCACCCAGCGTGTTGTGTGGAACACAGACTCACCCACCTGTGGGGACAGCAGGGTATGGGTGGGGGTGCAGCTGACCCCTCAGGCCCACATGGCCTGCTGACCACTGTGTCAAAAGCTGCTGTCTTTCCCTCCTCACACCCAGCACCCACTACCCATCTCAGCCCCAAGTTTTCTGTGGGAGGCTGTGTTTCTGCAGTTGCCTGGACTCTGGCCCTCTCTGCCCAGGACCCACCTTCCAGTTGGGCACATCCTTCATGATGATGGCCTCCTCCTCCAGGTTCTCCCGGAGCATCTGCAGGACCCTGCAGGGACAGAGTGGGAGGTGGGGGAACAGGCCTGGGGACCCTGAAGAGCCCCTGCCTAATGTACCTGCCAAACCCCTCCCTGCTCCACGGCCCCCCATCACCTCCCGCTGCTTCCAGCCCTGCACACACTGACCCCTCTTCTCCTTTCCTTTCCTCCCCCTGGCAAACTCTTACTGTCCTCCTGCTCCAGCCCCAATGCCCCCTCCTCCAGGAAGCCTTCCTGTTCTGCCTCTTGGGTCTCTGCTGTTAAGTCAAGTTTAGGGCCCTTTCCAAGGGTAACAGCAGCCATGTGTGTGTGAGGACGAGGCTGCCAGTCCCCACAAGTGTTCTGGCAGTGTCCTGAGCTGCAGGCTGGGGCACTCAGGCCTGTGACTTCCTGACCCTGGCCCCAGTGGCCTCACCTCCGGTCCTTCTCTGCCTGCAACAGAGGCATCAGCGCGATGCGGGCCTCGAAGTCCTCAATCTGCAGGCGCCTGTAAAACCCCCAAACCAACAATGGGATCAGATCAGGCTGGGGTGATGGGTAGACAACGTGGCCCTCAGACACCCGGGCTGATGCACGGGGAAGGGGGCTGGGGCAGAGGCAAGTGAGTGAGACAGGCCTAAGGTGGTGGACTCTGCCCATGAGAAGCTCAAGATGAGGATGAGTGTGGGGGGCACGCTGCTGGCAGAGGCATCAGTCCAGAAGACCATTGGCTTCACACCTTTTCAATTAAAACTTTTTTCTTTTTTTTTATTTATTTTTTTGTGAGGAAGATCACCCCCGAGCTAACATCCATGCCAATCCTCCTCTTTTTGCTGAGGAAGACTGGCCCTGGGCTAACATCCGTGCCCATCTTCCTCCACTTTATGTGGGATGCCGCTACAGCATGGCCCAACAAGCGGTGCGTTGGTGCACGCCCGGGATCCGAACCAGGGTCGCCAGCAGTGGAGTGCATGCACTTAACCACTACGCCACAGGGCCGGCCCCTAAAAAACTTTTTTCTAATCCTAAAAATAGCCTGGGCCTGATGATTGCAGTGAAACTGGGGGTGGGCAGTGACGACGACAACGACACACATTCATCACAGGGCTCTGGGCCTTACAAAAACACGTCGCCTTCATCTCAAATTAACTGCCGGGTGTGAGGCTGCAGCAGGTGGGGCCTGTGCATCACAGGCAGTTCCTTTCTTCTCCCTGCTTTTTGGCTTCTTTCAAGCCACCAGCCTTGCTTGTGCTGGGGGGAGTGGGGGAGTGGCACCCAGTGACATGGCCCAGGGAGTGGCCTCTGGCCCTGTCCCCTCAACACTGGAAATCTCACACTGGAAGAGTCTGGATAAACTTCAGCCCCCACCTTCTCCCATCCCCAGGACCCAGAGTAGCACCCCCACTCCAGACTGCTGCCCCCATCACAGCTGCACACTGTTGTCACTACCATGTCCATCCCCCCTGTGGGTGGTGCATCCTGGGAGGCTGGGCCTGTCCAATGCAGGGGCCCAGCGTCTGGCACCCTCCAGGCACTCCTGACTTCACTCAATAATGTCCAGCGCCCTCCACATGCTGGGCCTTCTCCAGTATTGCCCTCAGGGATTCCTGGCCCTGTGGAGGGCAAGCGAGCTCAGGGTGCTAAAGACACATGCCCCAGGATGGGACAGGTGGAAGGGTCCGGCCAGTCAGGGGCCAATGAGAAGGAGCCACCGGGCAGGGCATCTGGGCAAGCTCAGAAGTGGCCCGAGCCTAAATTGAGGCCACCATGGGCCCTGGTCCCTCAGGCCCTGCATGGCTGGCATGGCCATTGTCTTGCATAGCCTGTTTCTAAGCCCTTATTATCCTCACTCCCTGGTTACCACCAACAAAAACCGACTAAGAGAGCATGTACCAGGCCTCCCCCTCCACATTCACCTCAATCCAATGGGCCATCCTAACTTGGACCCTCCGGTCCCCAGTGGCAGAGGCCAAGGGACGCCTGGTGGCGAGCTCCCTGCTTACTAGTCATTTCTTGAGGGTAAAGCCCAGAAATGGACTTGTGGGGTCAGGGCTTGCACTCCTTGAGGCCCAAGGGGTCGACAAGGGGCCCCGACATACACCAAGTCCACAGGCACAAGGCCCCACCCTCACCAGTGCGCGGCCTACCTGCGTTCGCGGTTCCACTTCATCATGCTCCAGTACCCGAAGAGCAAGGTCCCGATGCCCACGGCGAACATACTGTAGCCTGTGGGGAGAGGGGGTGCTGGCTCAGCGCCTGCTCGCAGGACAGGCCACCTCTCATCATTTCTTCTCGTGAGGCATGATCTGCTCACTGTGCAAATACTCCAGAAATATGGACGAGGGAGAAGGTGAAAGCCCCCATGACCCCCTCCCTGAGGTGGCCAGGACCGTCTCTAGTGCGTATTTCTTCTCTTTTTTTGTCTTTGTAGAATGTCCACCAGCCCCACCCCTCGGCCCCCACCCCCACCCCGCCCCACAGCTGCAGACCACTCTTTATCCCATTCACCACCACTGCAGGCAGGGGACACCAGGCTGCCTCAGCTTTTCTCTCAAAAGTGAGGCTGCTGTGGCTGCAACACCTCTGCCCCCATGTCGGGGTTTCTGGAAGGTACAGGCTGGGGAAGGACTGCAGGAGAGCCCGAGGATCTAGATGTTTATGGATGGGTGGCCCTGCCCCCATCATCTTCTAGAAGGTTGTCTGGTTCCCAGTCAACTGGCCAGTCACCATGAGGAAGAACAGTGTCCACAGTTGTGTCCCAGCTCCCAGGTGGCTCCTGGCTGCCTGGGTCACCTCCCTGTGTGCTGCCCATGGGGGGCTGGACAGGACTGCCACAGGCAGGCAGTGCCCTGTAGGGGTCGCCTAGCCACCACTTGGGCTCCCAGGGTGCTGCTGCCTCCCGGTCCAGCAGGGTTGAGCCCCTGCCCAGAACCCCAGGGGACAGAGGCTGCCATCAATATTTACTGAGCACCAGCGGGCACCTGCATTCTAATCTTGACTGACAGGCTGTGGGCCCGCTGGGGACTTCTGGGAGGCCCAGACTTCCTGGGGCCTGGCTGGGGCTGGCTCGCCCCGCCCCCCTCATCTTTTGAGCCTCAGTCTCTTCTCTGGACAGGTCTCATGGTTGCCAGAATGAATCAACACGTTCAGCCAGATCAAGCTCCAGTTAACACCCAGTAAAGGACCGGCAGATGGTGGGTGAAGCCACTCCCTGGGCCTCGTAGGGGGACAAAGTGGGGGCTCTCTCTGCTTTAGCTCAGCTCCAGCACAAGGCTCATCTGGCACCTCTGCTGGACCCAGAGATAAATGAGAAACTGGCTCAATTGTTTACCTCTTTAGTTCAACCTGTTAAAAACATCAGCTCAGGGTAAGACACTTCCACGTAACGGGGGACAGGGTAGCGAGGACACCTGTGCTGAGTGGCAGGACCTCTCCCGAGAGGCCCGAGTGCTTAGGACCAGCTCCTAGTGCACCCATGGCTTGTAGACAGCGGGTGGCCGCCTGCGTTGGGCACTCAATGTTCTCTCCACTGGGCAGGAGCGTCTCATTGGAGCTGCCTCATTCTTTTCAACAGCTGCAGAGAGGCCCAGGGGCCTCCTCTTCTGACCCAGCCCCAGGGACAGACCTGAACTGTCCTTGTGAAAACCCCTTCGCCTTACGCCAGACACCCACGTGTAGGCCCACCTGTAACATAAATTCCTTTATGATGATGTGGCTCTAACTCATCTCTTCCTGCCTGATGGTGGCAAGGCTGAGACCCCAGGCCCTCAGAGAGGTCTGTGCCTCTGGAGCTGCCAATATGGTGAGGGAGGCTGGAGAGGGGCAGGCCCAGAAGGATACGCGGGCCATGCATAAAGACCTAAATAATGTATAATGCATCCTGTGTTCATGGATCAGAACTTAACCC